TAATTCAATTTATTTATTTATATTTAGATACTTCTTTGTATTATAAAGGAATTTTAGCATTTATTTTTGAACATATTATTGTAGAAGAAATTTTATGTAACAAATAATTACAAAACACATGAAAGGATATAAGGTATTTCAGGTAATGCCTATGTAAAATGCGCATTCTTATTTTCCTTCAAAAATTTGGGCAAAAGAGTGTGCATTAAACACACCAAAACATGGTAATTAAAGTCAGCCCTTCACCTATGTGATTTCCCAATCATGGTTCAAAAATACAGTTGACCCTTGAACAACGTGGGTTTGAACTTAAGCATTCAAGTGGACCCACGCAGTTCAAACCACACTATTCAAAAGTCCACTACAGTTTGAAAGCAGAAAAAGTGATGCTTCTAGATGCCTCCTTCTTTATCAACATTGATTTGCTATTCAGGGTCTTTTGTTGTTCCATACAAATTTTAGGATTGTTTCTGTTTCTCTGAAAGTTGTCATTGGAATTTTGATAGGACTGCACTGAATCTGTAGATTTCTTTGGGTTCTTTCTATAGACATTTTAACAAAACTAATCCTTTCACTTCTTTCATCAGTCTCTTGGAGTTTTCAGTGGTTATATTTATTCCAAGGTATTTTATTCTTTTAGATGCAATTGTAAATGAAATTGTTTTTAAAATTTTCTGAGTGTTTCTTATGAGTGTATAGAGGCACAACTGATTTTTATATATTAATTTTGTATCCCGCAATTTTATTGAACTCATTTATTACTTCTAACAGTTTCTTTTTTGGTGGGGGTCTTTAGGATTTTTTATATAAAGTATCATGCTACCTGCAAATATTGGGTTGGCCAAAAAGTCTGTTAGTTTTTTTCTGTAAAATAAAAGACACATTTTTCATTTTCACCAGTAACTTTACTGATTTGAGTATTTTGAGTATATCAGCTATCTCCCACTATTGGCTTCTAGTGGTATAAGCCAGGCGTACTCCTAAATATCTTCCAATGCATAAAATAGCCCTACAGCAAAGAACTGTTTGGCCAAAGTGTCAATAGTACCAAGAAACTTCATAAACCACTTTTGACATATTTGATCAGTCATAGCACCTTCTCCATACATTGCACAAATATTTTTTTTTACATTACAGTTGTGTTTTTACCTTTCTTGAAATTTTAAAGCACAATACTCCAAAAATGTTGCTTATTTTCTTCCATCTTCAATATTAAAATGGCTACACAAAAATTCACCAATTTTGATAACATTTTTTAAATGCACACTGATAGGATAGCTGTCACAATACAATCTAACAAAATTGTTTCAAATGGCATTAAAGACAACTAAGCACTACTAGAGCCATTGCATGGAGAAAATGTAACCGACTTTTTGGCCAGTCCAATGGGAACATTTTTACTTCCTCCTTTCCAATTTAGATGCCTTTCATTTCTTTTTCTTGCCTTACTGTTCTGGCTAAGACTTCCAGTGCTATTTTAAATAAAATTGGAAAGAATTTTTATGTTGTTCCTGACATGAGAAAAAAAACTTTCAGCTTTTGTCACTGAGTATAATGTTAGTTGTGGGCTTGCCATATATAGCTTTTATTATGTTGAGGTATGTTCCCTCTATACCCACCTTTGTTGAGAGTTTTTATCATGAATGAATGTTTTTAAAATTCAACATTTTAGCCCTGGCTGGTGTGGCTCAGTGGATTGAGCACCAGCCTGTGAACCAAAGGGTAGCCGGTTCGATTCCCAGTCAGGGCACATGCCTGGGTTGCAGGCCAGCTCCCTGGTGAGAGGCACGTGAGAGGCAACCACACAAGGATGTTTTTCTCCCTCTCTTTCTCCCTCCATTTCCCTCTTTCTAAAAATAGATAAATAAAATCTTTTTAAAAATTCAGTATTTTATTTTATTTTTTTATTTTTTATTTTAAAGATTTATTTATTTTTAGAGAGGGAAGGGAGGGAGATAGAGAGAGAGAGAGAGAAACATCAATGTGCAGTTGCTGGGGGTTATGGCCTGCAACCCAGGCATATACCCTGACTGGGAATCAAACCTGCGACACTTTGGTTCACAGCCCGTGCTCAATCCACTGAGCTACGCCAGCCAGGGCAAAAATTCAGTATTTTAAATGAATCTTTACTTAATGTAATTTTAAAGCTCATATGGAAACCAAAAAGGCAAGTATAACCACATACTTCTGAAGAGAAAGGTATAAGGATCTGTCCTACCAGAGAGAAGAACATTTTAAAGAAGCAAGAGTAATTAGGACAGAAATAGATAAAAAAAGCCAATGTAACAATAGTGAATATGTATACATAGAATTTAATATGTGACAAAAGAAACACTGTGGAACAGTAGAAAACAGATAGACTTTTTATTCAGTGGGGCATACATAATTTATTCTCTATATGGGAAACAATTACAACAAATCTCTATTTCACATCTTTCATAAAAATCAATTCCAGTTACATTAATAGGATTTTAATAAGAAAGTCAAAACATAAAAAAAAAAACCCAGGAGAAAATTGGGCTAGGAAAAGGTTTTAAGACACTCAAAGCACATAGAAAAAAGAAATTTCTTCTTTTGTTTTTATTTTCATTTTTTTATCATCATTCATAACAGAATTTTTATAAAGTCTATCTTATAATTTAACTAATGATATAATTTAATCATACTAAAAAAAGAGTTACTATTCATCACAAGATAACATAAAGAAACTAAATAAAAAAGCTACAACTGGTCCGGGTTGGTGTGGCTCAGTGAATTGAGTGCCTGCCTGGTAGTTCAATTTCCAGCCTAAGGCACATGCCTGAGTTGCAAGCCAGGTTCTCAGTAGGGGGAGCGCAAGAAGCATCCACACATTGATGTTTCTCTCCCTTCCCCTCTCTAAAAATAAGTAAAATCCTTAAAAAAAAGCCACAACTGGAAAAGATGTCTATAAAACATGTTACTGACTAAAAATTAAGTACCCAGAATATATTAAAAAATTCCTACAAATCTTAGGAAAAAGACTAATAGTCTAATACAAAAATAATCAAAGTTATCATTACACAAAAGACACACTAAAGGCCAAATAATAAATAAAAATGTAATTATCTTAATGGTAACCAGGAACATTTAATTTAAACCAGTGAAATAAGATTTTATACTTATAAATCATAAGAAAATGAAAAACATCTCACATATCAATTGTAGGGAGAGAAGGTGATACAAACACTTGTAAAAGAGTTTGGCATTAACCAGTAAAGCTGAGTAAATAGGTATGCCAAGACCTAGTGATTATACTCTCAGGTGCATTTCCTTGAAAATCTCTTATATATGCAAATCTAGAGATTTACACTTCATCTTATAATTTTATGTTAATTGTATGTTATATATACCCTATTGTGTATATTAACTTCATTTTATAACTGGCTATTCAATTTGTTAAATAAAAAGCAACAGGTTTAAGAGTCAAAAGCTCATAGCTAAAGAATATATTAGTGAATCAACAGAAATCAAGTCAAGAAATTCTATGCAAAAGCAGTATAAATGGAAAAACAGACGAAAAGTAAAAGACACTGATGATAACAGATGTTCTAATGCCTGTTTAACAGGAGCATAACAGAGAAAAGAGGAAATGGTAGCAAGGTAATATTTGAAGTGATGACTGCCAAAGACTTCCTATCACCAAAAAAAGAAGAGTCCTCAGATTGAAAAACATACCAGTACTGCTGTACTTCAGGTCTCTGCACAAATGACAACTTACTGGAAAAAAGTTTTTTTTTTACCATGTCACATAAAAGAGCACCCTCTATCCACTCTTTGCACTTTTTTTTTTAGTACTTACTATTACATGATAAATTATATATTCATTTATTTGTACATCTATTCTTGCACTGGAGGGTGACCTCTGAGAATCAAGTTTTTTTCAGGTTCTATTGGCTACTGTAACCCTCAGAGTTAAGAACAGTGCTGGGGCTTTAACTGGTGTGGCTCAGTTGATTGGGCGTTATCTTGCAAAGTAAAAGGTTACCCATTCCATTCCCAGTCTGGACATATGCCTGGGTTTTGGGTTCAGTCCCTGGTCAGGGTATATAAGAGAGGCAAGTGATTGATGTTTCTCTCTCACACTGATGTTTCTCTCACTGTCTTTCTCCCTCCCCTCCCCTCTGTCTAAAAATCAATAAAATAAAAAAGAATAGTGTTGAGTGTACAGTGGTTACTCAATAAACATATAATGAATGCTGTCCCATTTGTCCTCCTTCATACAAAATCTCTTTACCTTTGCCAGCTCTAAATTCTCAATAGAAGCAAAGACCCTTCACTTCCAATATTCTATCTAAAGTCTATGACACACATGTTCAAATTTCCTCCTCTGACCGCTTTCTGGATCAATTTCTCTTCTATATTTCTAGTTCTCACTTTCTGCTGTCCTCCCTATTTTAACCTCTCTTATGGTGGTTCTACTTTGTAGAAGTTATATATAAACATGTTCTGGTACCCCTACTAAGGTATAAATTCTATAACTGCTTATTCCTTTTTTTAATATCTACAGAACTTAGAAGAGTACCTCACACACATTAGAAAATCAGTAAATGTTCGTTAAAAGTATGACTGAATCAATGAGTGTATGAACTACTGTATCTAAAAAACTCTAAGATAATTAGTTTTTGGCAATGTAGAAAAGAATATATTTCAGGAGACAGTGATGCTTTTTTTTTAAAGGCTAACACAAAAGAGGATGAGAAGCTGATAAGGAACTAGAACCAAAATATGGACAGAAAGAAATATCATTAGAGAGGGCGGAAGAGGGCACAGCTAGTTAAAATTAGGAGAAAAGTGTAAGAGGAAAAGAACAGGCATTGTGTTAAGTAAGGGCAAAAGGTGAGGTCATTTGAAAGCTCATACAGAAAAGGATTACTTTTGTATACAGGCCTAAGGCTTTTAAGGGGAACTTCCCGGATAGCAATTCTAAAGTATAGCCTCTCCACTGAACAACTGGGTCGTTACTGCCATGCCTCACTTACCTGGACACTGGCCTCCTGTTACTTCTCTGTTAACCAACCAGGGCTCCTTCCCCTGCTCCAAGAAGGAGATCACATCTGGTTTAGAAATAGAATGTCCTGCTTATAAAAGAAGTAATGAGACATGTTTATGATAAGAATGTCCCAGAATTCAAATCCAGTTCTTTCATTAAGAAAGAATCAAAGAAAGGTATAATAGCTTTATGAAACATAATGAGGATTTGAATCTTCACCCATAACTCAACACAGCTTCTTCTTTCTCACTCTATAATATTAAAAACATTCCTCTGGGAACTGGATTAAAAACCTAATCGGTTACTGAAAAGGTAGGTAAGTATTTCACCCTGGAGGAAGTAGACCTTCTGAGGGCAGAATCTGAATTAATATGGACAGATGTCCTTACCCATTGAAACCAGGTTGTTGTAATTCTCCAACATCACATCTCTGTATAAATCTCTCTGATCATCATTCAGGCATTCCCACTCCTCCTGAGAGAAGTCTATGGACACATCACTGAACATCACTGACTCCTGGAACAACAATCATGTATATGACTTAATTAATTTAAAAAGTGTGTTTTGTGAGGAAAAGAGAGAAGAAAAAAATAAAAGTAGAGGAAGTGAAAAATTGCAAGCATATAGAGAAGGTCTGAATGGGAAGCAAGCAGAGGACTGTAAAATAAGCATGACTGAATCAATGTGCCTCCATATCATTATGTTTCCTCCAGACAAAACTGCTTCTGCATACTGGAACACTTCCAGTACATAAGTCTGAGAAGGTACAAAGTCTACCAAGAGTTTCATAATTAAATGAAATAGTATATGCAAACACCTAACACAATACTTGTCATATAATATGTGTGCTTCTTTCTCCCTCCTTTTTCCAAATACTGAAAGTAAAATTTCAGAAAAAGTGATATAGAAGATATTAAAGGCATCCAGAGAAGAGTAGATCATATAAAAGACATCAAGAATCAGAGAGGCAATGGGATTCTTTACATTACTAAAAGTAAGAAATAAGAACAACTCTTCATTATTCTTATGGAAAAAGGTAATTCTGACAAAGAATTCTATAACTGAAATATTATTCTGTTGTAAGAATGAAAAACAAAATTCCTAGACATAAAGGACACAAGCACAATATCTTAGGAAACTACTGAGGATGTATTCCACCAAAATGGGGGAGTAAAGAACAGGGGAAGATATGAGATTCAAGAAGTAGGTAAATTAACACAGGAAAACAGTGAAGGAAAATTCCAGGGAACAAAAAAAGGGAAGTCTTGGGAAAACTGCAGCAGGCCTAGAGAGTAACCAGACTAGATGGGAGCAAGGCCAAAAGGGAACAGAGATGGAAGCTTCCACATGTTCAAAAGGAATGATGTGTTTGATCAGATAGAAAACATATTAATTGGCATGTGACAGTAATCCTGGATATTTTGAATAAAAATACATGGACAACTAAGCAAGTGTGGGGGAAAAATTAACTTCAGGAAAAACAAAAAGTTATAATAGAATAAAGCTGAGCTAGTTCAGGAGTTAGTGATATTTACAGTCCTAATAGTCCATACACTATTAATTTAAGCAAAAATTGTAATAACAGAATCAGAGGAAATGAAGGGTGTAATAGGAAGTACAATGTTCCTTCCACTCTTCAGTAAGTCAAGAGAAAATGAGTAAAATTGATTCATCAAAAGATAGCAATTATACCATATTCAAGAGTTGAGGGGGGAAAGGGGTTAGGGAGGTGAGTGAACAAGTTGAAGGGATTAAGAAGTACAAATTGGCAATTACAAAACAGTCATTGGGACGTAAAGTATAGTATAGGGAATATAGTCAATAATATGATAATTATGTATGGTGCTAGGCAGGTACTTGAAATATTGGGGATCACTTTGTAAATTATATGATTGTCTAAGCATTATATTATACACTTGAAACTAATATAAGATAATATTGAAAATCAACAATAATTAAAAAATTAAAAAAGGTCTTGACGGCATCTACCTTTTAGGAATGGAACTGGTGATAAGACTGGAATAGTACTACTTCACTTGTACACATGTGTAAAATGACTTTTAAAAATATTTTATCTAGAAAATTATATTCACATATAATTCAAGGCTGAATCATTAAAATGTCACATTATATAATAAGTTATTCCTTATTACAATAAATTCTTTTCATAAGCATATTTTTCACTGAATAATATTCTGTTATAGGGATATAAATGACAGTTTTTCTTTTGCTTTCAGACATTGAGGCCATAGGTGATCTTTAAAGATCTTCCCAACATTAGTCCAATCTTACTTATAATCCTACCCATTATTCAACTATAAATTCCCTTTGTTCCTGAGCTATGGGAAATTGATGGAGGAGGTCATTCCACTATTAAGACTGAAATCAAACAAAATCTTATTCCACACATTTTCTCATTGGAAAACCTAGGTCTGTGGAGATGGTCAGGGCTTTTCCCTACAAGGTGCCCTTAAGCATTCATTTTCATCCTATCAACTCACTGTCCAATCAAATTAGATTCATTAACAAATGAATCAAGATTTCTGGCAGAAGTCTAAGATAGAAGATGCTAAAGTACTTAAAAAATGAGTTTGTAAACATTGTTTAAAGTAGGAGGAAGAACTGGGAGGTTTAGGAGGAAATAGGGATCAGTTTCCTGAAGTGTGACTATTTTAACTAGCATAAAAAATACTTTTTTCAAGTGTCGCAGGTTCGATTCCCAGTCAGGGTACATGCATGGGTTGCAGGCCATGACCCCCAGCAACCGCACATTGATGTTTCTCTCTCTCTCTCTTTCTCCCTCCCTTCCCTTTCTAAAAAATAAATAAATAAAATCTTTAAAAAAATATTTTTTTCAAAACCCTGTGTCAGTCAGTTTTTTACATTATATAATTTACAATCTCTTTATAGAAACAAGTATTCTTGATGAAATCATAAGGAATTTCCTGATAAATTTTAATCTGATTAACACCTCTTCAGAGAAACTTACCAACCATTTGACCCTCTAATAGTTATCTGCAAGTTAAGAGTATAAAGATCTTTAACTATTCTTTTCTTTTTTCCAAAGATTATTGAACCACTTCTTTTTTTTATGACTATCTCCACAAACAGAAAAATGTTTAAATTGGCTTGTTAGACACCTTTTTCTTCAGGGCAAAGGTAGAAGAACTTCAGCAATGCCTATAATGAAACTGTATGAAAGTTTTTTGTCTATGTTTTTTAAACACCAAAAAGCATCATATGAGGAAAGTTAAGTGTTTACATGTACTAGCAATAAAAATGACTCTATTTGAGCAAAAGAAAACATCATCTCACCTGAGCCATGGCTTTGATATTTGTAGAAAAAGACCAGTCCTCCTTTGGGCTCCTCTTTTGGAAAAAGACAGCTGGGAAAAGCAAAAGAAGCTACATAAGATCCCACTTGCCTCATAACTCCAAAAATGACTATCTCCCTTCTGTTCATTCCACACAAACACTTGAGGGGTTATTAGTGAGAAGAATAAACAAATATCTCATTATGCCCAACTCCAGAAACATTAGGCTTTAACTTGAGCAGGATAGAATTGAACAACCTGATATGGCTTGGAGAATATACTTTGTATATATGTACATATAGGCCCAAAGATATCATATTTTACACAAGTTGTAGCATGTTATATATATTTGCTATTTTAAGTTAATGTATCTTGGACTGGATCCCAACTAGTACATAGAGAGATAGATAATTCTCTTATCTAAATTGTGTATCATTACGTGGATATACTTTATTTAACCAATCTGTTGCTGATCAGTTGACTTGTTTCCAGTCTTTCACTATAACATGCTATACTAAAGATCTTTGTACATATCATTTACCAGCATATGAATTTTGCATGATTAATTTCTGAAAGTTGATCATAATCATTTTGGTTTGGATATACATTGGCCAAATCAGTTTTCAGTCATCTTGTATTATGCAATCAAGCCCCAAATCCTGAGCAAGAAACAAGTGATTGATAAATCAGATCCTCTAATCCTGACTTAAGAGTCTTACCTAAAATCCAGAAAAGCAACCAAGGTAATGTTACTGAAACTTTAGTAAGATATTAAAAATAGCATAACAACAGAAAGGAATTAAGAATATAAAAATTAACTACACCCACATACTTTAGAATAGCTTTTACTTTATGTAAATGAAGCAATAATTTTAATAATCATGTACAGTCTTATCTGCCTCTTCAGATGTTTAAAATGTCCAAAAGAGCCCTGGTCAGTGTGGCTCAGTTCATTGGAGCACTGTCCCATAAATCAAAATTTGGAGGGTTCGATTCCTGGTCAGGGCACATCCTAGGTTGTGGGTTCAGTCCCTGGCACATATAAGAGGCAATGGATCAATGTCTCTCTTCCAGTGATGTCTGTCTATCTGTCTGTCTCTCTTTTTCACCCCCTTCCCATCCTCTCTCTCTAAAATTAATAAGCATGCCCTTGGTGAGGATAATAAATAAATAAATAAGTAAATAGTCTAAAAGAATAAGTTATACTAAAATACTAATAGAAGTCTAAATTGTTTAAGAAGAGTAGCTGATTTGTGATGTATGTTTAAACTTAAATTTTTTTTGCTTATTAGATATAGGAATATAATAAACTGAGCATTATAAAAGTATAAAGGACAGTGAGCATTCATTCTATGCACAAAGCTCCTTGATTATTAAACAACTTATCAATAATTTCATGTAAAACTAAACACCTAAAGAACAGCACCATGTTATCAATTATTTAATGACTACTCACTGCACTCCCCCAGGTGTATACATGTTCCAGGAAATTAAAACCAAAATAATCCATGTTTTTTTCCCTAAAGCCTAAAAGTACTCCTTTAAAAAAAAAATCTTCACCTGAGGATATGTTTATTGATTTTAGATAGAGAAGAAGGAGGACAGAAAGAGAAAGAGGGAGAGAGAGAGAAACATTGATTGGTTGCCTCTCATAGGCGCCCAACCAGGGAGGGATCGAACCATCAACTCAGCTATGTTCCCTGACAAAGAATCAAACCCACAACTCTTTGGTGTATGGGACAGTACTGCAACCAACTGAGCCACCCAGCCAGGATCTGAAAGCACTCCTTTTAATATTACTAGTTATTAAGCCCCTAGTATTCTTTTACCAACCACATAGCCTATGTACCAGGTATTGTACCAAATGCTATAAGAGTCAACAGTAATCCAGAAAGACTCGGAAACAAAACTCCTTCTCCCATACTCCTTATTTTATGTCTCCCTTTCTGGCTTCTCCTCCTGGCCTTTCTCTGGTTAAAGGGACATCATTGAGTGCTACACCTTCCAACTATTATAGAATGAGCAAGAAACATTCTTACTTCAGTACCTCCTTCTACCTTTGTCACATTCATGAACCTCTTCCTTTGCACATCTGGGGTATCCTCACAGGCTGAATTCTTGCATCTGAGGGATCTTCTGTTCCTTTTTAAAGCCAAAATCTATGGCCAAGACTGTATATATAGTATGCTTGCAAAAAATGACCACACCTGGGGTATGGAGCATTGCAAAAAGGTATCACTACAGATAAGAAAGTCCTTTAAAACCAAGTAATTAACTTACTTTTTTTTTTTAGTATTTTGTACTCTTCTAAATAATAAACCTTGCCCTCACCAGTGTGGCTCAGTTGGCTGGAGCATCATCCAGTAGGCCAAAGGGTTGCAGATTCAATCCCTGGTCTGGACGCATGTGAGAGGCAACAAATTGACATCTCTCTTTCACATCCACATTTCTCTCTCTCCCTTCCCCTCTCTCTAAGCATGCCCTCTGGTATGGATAAAAGAAAGAAAAAGAAGAAAAAAATTATAAGCCTATGTTTTAATAAAAAGATCATTACTTCACTTAAGAGTATGTTTTAAATTATTTCCAGCATCCTGAAAATTTCCCATATACTAGGAAATTCCCATATACTATATGGGAAAATTTCCCATGTACTATATCTGTAACAGAGATCTGAAAAGCAGTTTAAATTTTGCTTTATAATGAGAAGGCTAAAAGTAGATAGTTGCTGGCCTTGGCCCCCACAATTGTTTCAGATGCAATATCTATCATACAATTAAAATTACTAGACATGCAAAAAGATTAAAAACAGAAATTAGAAATAGCACCACAGACAATTCAGATATTGGAGTTGTAGAACAAATAGTTTTAAATAGTTGTAATTAAATGTTAAAGACAACCAAGGAAAAAAGATAGGCAAATGAATGATAAGATGAAGAAATTAAATAGAACTGACATCTCTAAAAATGAATTATATAGACAATCTAGATCAGCATAAGAGATTAAAAAGTCATTGCAATTTTAACATGAGACCAGACAAGTAGGAGACAGAATTACAGAACTCAAAAACAAGTCAAAATATATATCCACATGAAGTGCAGATGAAAAAAGGAACAAAAAGAACAGAAGTGAATATAAAAGACACATGGGACAGTCAAAAGAGCTACCATACACGTAAGTGGAGTCTCAGAAGGAGTGGAGTCTCAGAAGGAGAAAAGAGATTGGAGAGGAATTAATATTGAATAAATGAACTAATCAAATCCTTCAACAAGAGTTTCAAGAGCTCAGCAAACCTGAAGAATAGTAAGTAAAATGAAAAGTAAAATACACAAAACAAAAAGCAAAACCACAACCAAGCATAGTCAAATTGATGAAAACCAAAGAAAAACAAAAAAACGTTTGAGAGTACCCAGAGGAACTCAAAAACATTACCAAAAGCCCTGATGAAAAAAAAAAGAGAGGTTAACTACACAAACGAACAATATCAGGAATGAAAGGGTAACATCAATTACAGATGCCACAGACCTTAAAAAGATAATAAGAGAATACTAATAACTTTATGTTCTTAACTGTGCAAGCTTATATAAAATAGACAAATTCCTTAAAAAACATGCCAAAACTGACATAAAAATAACAGAACATATAAAGTGTTAAATTGATTCTATAACTTAAAATTTTCCTATCAAGAAAAAATTAAGCACAGACAGCTTCACCAGTTAATTCTTTCAAATTTAAGGAACAACTTTATTCTTATAAGTAATGAATAGAGAAACACAGGGAATTCTTCCCAGCTCATTTTATGAGGCTAATAGAAGCCTGACACCAAAACTTAACAAAGACATTACAAGAAAATTATGAGCCAATATATCTCATAAATATATATACAGAAATTCCATCCAGTATTAGCAAATTTGACCATGTAAAATTTTTTAAAAAAGGTTTAATACATTATGGCCAGGCAAAGTTTACTTCAGGAATGAAAGGTTGGTTCAACATTTGAAAATTAACATAATTTAACACATTGATATGTTTAATAAAAGAAAAATCATATGATCTTCTTGATAAACACAGAAAATGCATTTGTCTAAATTCATTCTTCATTGGTGTAAAAAAAGTTTTAACAAATGAAAAAGAGAACTTCCTCAACTTGATAATTAGCATTTACAGTAGGTATTTGATTTATGCTTCATACAAGGATAATATACAAAAAGCAACTATACTTTCAGCAATAAACAACTGGAAAATTAAAAAAATTAAATACCATTTAGTTTCAACAATAAACATAAAATACCCAGGTATAAATCTAAGAGATGTGCAATAACAACTATAAATTGCTGAGAGAAATGGAAGACCTTAACAAATGTAGACATATAGTTATTATTTGATAGATTCAATATAGATAAAATGTCAGTTTTCCACTTCCAGCCAAAATGCAGGCATAGGTGGATACACTGTGCCTCCTCGCACAAGCAAAAGAAGGACAACAACAATTTAAAAACAAAAAACAACCAGAACTGACAGAAAATAGAACTGTATGGAAGTCCAACAACCAAGGAGTTAAAGAAGATACACTCAATCAGACTGGTAGGAGGGGTGGAGATGGGTGTCCAGAGAGGACCTGAGGCAAGGCAGTGGCTGGTGGACCCAGCACCAGATTGTGGAGCGGGGCTCACAAGGCTGAAGCTGGCTAGAAAGACTGGCAGTGGCAGGTGGAACAGGTGGTTTCACATTTGTGTGCGGATAAACTGGGAGGAACAACTTGGGAGCTAGACAGACCATGCAACCCAGGGTCCCAGTGTGGGGAAATAAAGCCTCAAACCTCTGATTAAAAACACTGGTGGGTGTTGAGGCAGCAGCAAGAAACTCCCAGCCTCACAGGAGATTTTGTTGGAGAGACCCATAGGCAAAGGAAATAGAAGTCCAGAAAGCCCAGAGAGTCCCAAAGAAGTTGGACCCAAGGAGGAACACACCAAGGCACGCCATAATTACACTACCCAAGATTGAAGATAAGGAGAGAATATTAGAAGCTGCAAGAGAAAAGGAGACAATCACCTACAAAGGAGTTCCCATAATAC